GTGGTGGTGGTCGATTCAAGAGCTTCTTGAAGTGGTCTGCCCATTGTTTCCTTTGTTTCTCTTCTCTGGTAATTAAATTTCTGTCATCATCTTTTATCGGTTTCATCTGCGTTGATCTCTTCCCGGATAGTAACCTGGTTATTTGATATAATGTTGTTAGGTCTCTCCTACCTGCAGCCTGTTCTGCTTCACTTGCCAGTGTGTCGTAGAAGTGTCTTTTGTTTTTCCGTGCACTCTTCTTCACTTCTTTGTCCAGTGTTTTATACATTATACTCAGTTCCTCTTGTTGTGCATCATTGCACTGGTTTATCTTCTGCTTCACCATCCTCCTCTCCCTGCTCTATCAGCTTCCATGTGTCCATCGAGATCCATTCCTTATCTTCTTTCTTCTTCCTTCCTAATACTGTTGTGCAGGTTTCTTCCCACATTTCTTTTCAAGGAGTTCCAGTTTGGAACCAAATGGACAACATTATCCTTCTGCCTAAAACGTCTTGTCACCAATTAGAATAATAATTAAGCAACACACCGGAATTCAATTTAGTAGAATATACAGAGTTTATATCTCGCTGAATATCTGGATGGTTGAAAACAAGAGATGCTAGAATTTGGCTAAATCCCTTACTTAACACTCGTAATCATGCCGGGTTTTGGCATCGGACTCAAGGCCTTCAGGTTCTCTAAGTCAGTAGACAGTACTGAATTCCCACGCGAATCCTTCTGAAGAGTCACCTGACACAAAGGAACACCGCTTCAGTAGTATTTACACTTTTTCCTTAACTAAAGTTGGCAGTATAAACAGGTCAATAAATCAATCAGCGATTGTTTCAGCAACAGAAGGAAATAGATTATGACTGATTCCCTCTTAAAATGTTCCTTTTTTATAGAACAATATACCTGTATTAGACTTTAGCAAACGTTCCTACCCAGTGGTCGAATGGTTGTCTGTTTGACATGAAACCTAACAGTCCTAGGTTTGACTTCTAACGGACTTGTAGACACGCACTGTCGAGTAGTCCCGCATGGGGATGAAACGGCTATCCAGTGCTTTCACTTTCTTATAATACTTCTTCAGCTAATATCAGTCCTTGGTGAGCATTACCTTGAGAAAAGACTAGTTGGAACGGTTTGACAAATAACCAATAGTTTCAGTCTGTAACTATCCTATCTAAAGGATCGTCATGCGTGATGTCGATTCGTGACATAAATCCTTTTGAAATCAATCAATTGATAACTTGGCAAAGTGGTGGTTCACTTCTTTTTTTAAATCAGTCAACATTCCATTGATTTTTTGTGACTTTTGGACAAATGGTTTTTTTACTATGAATTTTTGAAGTGAAAAATTGGAACAAGTACTTTCCCTATATTTGAATGAAACCTCCATCTTTATCAATTATTAAAAAAAGACAAAAGTAGAAGACTCATAAATGTCATTCTCGTAAGTGAGGCAGGATTTTTATCGAACCAACTTCGATTGTGTAATTATCCTTCTCTAGATACCATACTGTTTGTATGTGTATGCGTGAGGAGAGAGAGAGAGAGAGAACAAGTGAGCGTAAGTGCGTTCGCACTCGTATGCATTCACCGTTAAAAGAGAAAGTAGGGATAAACTGATTCAGACATACGACGAGGAGATTCGTACAAAATTGACTGTTGGGATTATTCTCGACTATCTTATCAGTATTTATTATCTTTTATCAAGAAAAGAGAATTTCAAAAGAGAAATTTAATATCATCGTAAATTATTCCACACTCACAAGATGGTGGTTGCTTTTTTCTATTTTGTGAAGTTGACGACTTGTAGATAAAAAGTGGATAGACAGCATGAAATAAAATGAACGAAAAGTTGGTAGATGATAAACACAGAAATGGTTGGTAAAACTAGGATATAAATCAGGGGGAAATTTATTACCCTCAGCAGGCAGTAACAGTAATTTCTCTGAGGTTTAAACCATCTCTTCCTCTCAGTTGATCTCTTTCTCTTTTCCTGGTTGTATGTTTGCGACAGCATGTCTCTCTTTGTGTGTGGATGCTGGGGTGGAGGACTGAACAAGTAATCGATCGATAGTATACCCAATTTCTGAAAATTAATCCTTTTGACATTCATCAATCATTTATAGAATGGTAAGAAAGAGAGAAAGTGAGCTCTTGAAAGAGCTAGCGGTTATAACTTCCAGAATAATCCAGACTTTGAATTGTTAGCTTCTGTGTGTGTGAATGAATTAGATTTATTGCTACCTTTAATCAATCAAATTCTCTAAATAAAAATGTGATGGTGATGGTGCCTACACTTTCATTTAAACATCTTCGTAAATCTGTGAGGACCGAACGAATGTAAAATGTAGCTTTGATTAGTAACATCAAAGATCTTTCCAATATCTAGGTAAGAATTTTAACATAACCCTAAAACAAACTATCAAGGCCTAAGTCAGTGAATCAGTGAATCAATCAATCGAGTGATTTTAAAGGCCACTGTGGCAACTGCTGAAATGACCAATCGAGTTCCAGTATTTCGAATAGAAAGTTAGTTCTTCATAAAATATCGAAGTCTAATTGGTTATTTCAGCAGTTGTTATGGTGGTCTTTAAAGTCGTTAAATCAATCTGTATAGAAATTAAATCCAGCTTATTTTCAGTTTCCTCACTTCTTTGAGTAGTCAACAAAGCATTCATTTCTAGAGTTAGTCAACAACATAACGACACTGACCATACACAAATAGGTGTTTAGTTTAAGGTTTTTTAGGGATTCATTTATTTCAGGATAATAATCATCATGAACTGATATCTTTTAGAGAACCATTGAAAACCTAAGTGGAGCACTGGACAACTGTTTCGTCTTAATATGAAACTCCTCATGAGTCTGCCATGTGTCGAACTCAGGGTGTTCAAGTCTCATAGAGAACGTGTTAACCATTCACGATTTCCAATGGTCTTCCAAATAGGTGTTTGCTTGTTAATACTTGTAATTTTTTGTTGTTATGTTGCCCCTTCTGGTATATGGACTTCTGTTCGGTTTCCTCTATGTCGTCTGAAGACACAGCATGTTACTAACCGGCTCGATGACGGCTAGCATTGGGATCCAGGACGTGCGTTTCGCCCTATTTGGTACTCATCAGCTGGATGTACCTACACCCCAGTAAGTAATGCTGTCCTCACTGAGACGCAAATCCAGCACCCATCACTTGAAACGCCACATCGTTATCCACTAGGCTACTGAGGCACGACAGCCACCTTTTGTAGTAAACAGGTATATATTGTTATACTAAATCGAAGTGACCGACATCTGCTGGCATGTGGACTCTTATGCACTTGCCTCCATAACATTTGAAGATTCATTATGCTACAAGTTGCTCGTGTCTGTGTAGCCTACTGGACAACAGTTTGGCATTTTTTGTGAGTGAGGACACTACTACCCACTGGGGTGCAAATACATGTAGCTGACGAGTCCCGAGTAGGATGAAATACGCATCCTAGATTTCGCTGCTACCTACCAACAAGCTAAGATTGGCAAGAATACACTCCGCTTCTGCAACCCAAACAGAGTTAGATGATCCGGTTGACACTTACAGACAGAATACTTATCAAGACAACGTCATTAAAACGATTGTATGAAACAATAAGAACAAGTCACTTATTCCCGCTTGTTACGAAAAACAAGCCAAAATAATCACGTACAGAGATGAAAGCTAGTTGAACAAGACGTTTCCTGTTACCACATATTCGTTCAACTGTTGTTACAGACTAGCATATCTTATCACTATGTCTGAAAGATCGAATTTTATCACGATATGTTCACTTCAGTGTTTATTTATCATTTCATCTATTGGCACAGAATTAGTTATCTACAAGATACTGCAGAATCTACTCTAGAATGGGAGATGAAAGTTGAAGTCAAGAAGATAGGTGCTGGCAACGCACTGCAAATGCTAAATTCGCTTTTTCGGTAGACAAGATGAACAATTATCTGCAATAAGGCGTAAAAAGTTTAGGTTCTGCAAACAGCTGAGGCCGTCACCGCCATCAAAATCATTCACTTTGTTGCGAAATTGAGCGATACAATACTCGAAATCCTGTAAAACGAACTGTTACTTGATCCCAATCACAGAACTTTATACTCATGTACACAACTGAATGAAAACACAATTTGGAGGTGTGTTGGGGTTTTATTGATTAACTTCAGGTTGTCATTCACTCCAGAATGATATCATTTAGAGAACGGTTGGAAACCTTTTAGGGGCACTAGACAGGTGTTTCGTACCAGCGTTGGACTCTTCAGCAGTACTCACTCCTAATCCCGTCAGAGGGCTAGCCCAGAACCTTCAGGTTCCACAGCCGGATTAAATTACCTTCTAGCGCTTATTAGTGACTTGTTTTGAGATGAAATTACTGAGTTCCTAATGAAAAGCCGTGACCGGGTGGACCAGCCGAGTCGTATATGAGGACAGATATTCAGTGACAGCATTGGATAGAGGTGGCGCTATATTGGGAACTGACAGAAGTAGGAAAATGTGAGCCATTAGATTCTGACCCAGTGACTTAATGATAACATGCTAACCGTGGAACCTGAAGGTCATGGGGTTCGATTTCTGGTGAGGTTATGGGTGTGCTCCTCGCAGGTTTCCAATGCCTCTGCAATTGGTGTCAATACGTGATGAATATCAACCTGAAATCAATGAATGAAGATAATTAGGCGCTAACATTCTCATTTTTTTCTTAATAAATAGGTTTATAATCCAATAGCTGATACGTTGACTAACCACAAAACATGCGTACATTCAATCTAGTGGAGTAGTTTGAGTGCATAAAAATCCCACACAGAATTAATCATCATTATGTCAGATTCCTGCATTCTGTAATGTATCCTTTAAATCAACAGGAATAATGATTATAGTTATAATAGTTATCACTTTGAATCACAATTATCTTTCATGACTTCACCAATAAAATAATCAATAATTCATTTTTATTTAAAAATCAATCACCGCCAACATCATTTATACTTACTTATAATAACATTTGCACATGTCTATTGGTTTTATCCAGTCCAATTAAATGATTAGCTGGATTCAATGAAAAAGCTGGTGAAGGTATTGTTACACGACATTCATTATTACCATTTTAATTAAATGACTTGGTATTAACCATTGGTATAATCCACTATCCGGTCTAGAATTAGTCAATGAATCTGGAATATGAGTTATTGAGCCTTGAATTGGAGTTGATGAAAGTAAATTATTTTGTTGTTGTTGCTGTTGAGATTGATGTTGATGTTGATGATGTTGTTGTTGTGGATGACTAGCATAAATTGTTCCACTTAAACCGATAGTATCTGTTGTCCCCGTCAAACAATTCCCAATAGGATCAGTTTGCATTGGAATTGTTGTAGAATTATGGGAATTTAATAAATTATGATAAGTTGTACTAAATGAGTTTAAATCTGCTGTTGTTGGATAAACACATCCTTGTAAGGCTGGATTTGCCATTGCAGCCATAGCAACAGAGAGTAATTGTTGTTGTTGTTGTTGGGATTGTTGGTGAGACTGTTGCTGCGTTGGATGTTGATGTGGTTGTTGTGGACGAAAATAATCAGTCCCGTATAAGGAGCATCCGTATAGACTATAGTCAAGTTGAGATAGTAACATGAAAACCAATGAAAAGAAGAAAGTTTTAAAAGGTAACTGAAAAAAAGTGGCTGGGTACAGGTTCTACACAAACAGTGTACTGTATCGTTATTATCCTCAGGTGGAATTACTCAGTTTAAAGTCTCTGGAGAAAAAAAAGTAACCAAATGGGAATCACTTCTTCAAAATTACAGAAGTTAAACTGCGAGAGTTAAAATCGCCAGATCGACCATCTTATACACAGAATGACAACTTAAGTTGGAATGATATCAATGTCAGAAGGACTCAAATCAGCTGCCTAAGTGTGAAATTGAAAAATTGTCTTTCACCTTATACTCAGAATATGCAGTTTGCAAATTAATTCCATGGTTAGTTGAACGCCATACAAACGTGTAGACACACATATGCCAGCAAGTTTCTGCAGCCAAATCATGAATGGGAGATTTCGTACATTTGAAGCAGAGCTTAGCGAATGGCTTCATTCCAATAGTTTTAAATATTCCTCAGTTAACATGAGTCAATACGTTTCTTGGTGTCTAATCAACTCTGAGATGAATACTAAGTGCTGTTCTAGTGGACATTTGATTAGGTTATTTCGATAACTGCCACTGAAAAATGACCACATTTCGTTGTCGACAGTGTATCTCTTTTCTAAGCAAAAATAACTGTCAGCGTTGGTTCAAATGCTTGTAGGAAATTAGACACCTTTACCTCCCTCCCTCCCCCCCCCCAACCCACATCTGTCTTTAAAACTAGATAAGTGTGTCTTTGAAAAACCTCCTAGTTGCATAATAACCGTCAGTTAGTGCCCATTTTGATGGGACCCAGCTGAAACTATGTCTTACGGTTGTCAAAAATTATGAACAAAGAAGCTTTCAAAGTTCCAGGAAACCGATATATCTTAAGTGAGCGTAGATCGGTCACCTTAAGCACTGGTAAAACCATAGATACTACCAGTTAGCTATTTAGGTAGCAGACGCCGCGTGTTTATCAATGACTAGATGGTGGAACCAGTGTGACTTGTTGCCTGAAGGTTATAAATTAGGAGGAAAGTGACTGTTACCAGTACCGATATGCCCAGAGGACAGAATTAAACATTGGATAAAAATTCCACTTGATTACAGTTCTTTTTATTGCTACTTTAAATCTGTTTGAAGAAGTGCCTCGAGGAATTTCACATGCTCCACTTGCCATATGGTAAAATATTACAACAAGAAAATATAACATGGTCATAAAAATGGCGTAAAATGTTTTTTCATTCATTTACATTTGTTCAAAAATTTAGCAAAATTTATCGGTATGAGTTTGCTACTGATAACTGAAATAAGTAGTTACGCACTTTATGTGAGTAGATATATGGAGGTATGATGAGAAACTACGCGAAATGAGTTAAGGGGGACGCGGATTTCCCTGGAATAAGTCATTTTAAGAGACAAGCAGTAAAAAGTGAAACATTACTTCTATCTATTTGACTAATATCGACTTCTTTATCCTTTCGTTTCAGAGATTATACTCAGACAAACAGAATCAGCGCTGAACCTCGTACACAAGTGAATCGATTCATGTCGCCACACTTTACAGCAGTAAAAAAGAACAGGTGAACAGAAGAAGACTGATATCAAGGTAGAAGTTGTGTAAGAGAATAAACAACTTGAAGATGAAAGTTAGCGCAGATTTTCAAGTTGTAGAAAACATCAAAAGAGTAAATACATCTGCACCATTGTCACCGACTTTTACCCATGTCAAAAAGAACTCCGCAACCACTGATTCCTTTCATCGTGTAGACTACAACTAGTCAGTCTACATCTCACCACATGAGACTTCATTGACTGGTACCAGGTCACGGTCTGGCCACCCTGAATCTTCTTCTAGCCTAATCCAACTTCCCCCACCAGCTTAGTACGTCGAAGTAGGCGATGACTTGGCATGCGTAATACATGTCCAAATCATCTCACTCGGTGAAGGTTCAAAATCTGGTTGTACATGATACCATCCAGGGAGTGTAATAGTGGTCATGGCATGTTTGTTTGTTTTCTATGCACAGACAGTAAGGCAGAGTGGAAATACAGCGAACGCCTGAATGATTGGATGAAATGACTTGGGGTTTAACTCAGGCGCATAACTTTGTGCTTAGTATATACGCTTTTCAACAATCTTCCGAATACCATTCATTGGCTAGGTTGAATGGCTTTGTGTCTAGCCGAATATGGTATGGATTCAAACTAACGAAATATTACTAGATGACGAGTCTAAAATCAAATAGAAACTGGAAGGAACAGCTGATACTACTTAAATACCAGTCAACGAAAAACAAGTAGTATGACGTCATGTTGTTTGTAAATATTGAAAATTCTTTCTATCAAGTAATTTCCAGGATGGATGTTTGGTGGTATCCTATGATCTAATTAAATTGTTTAGGTGTCTTCACATTATGACAGTCCTGACAAACCGCTACCAGATGTTATCTATGTTTGTTTGTTTCTCTCAGTTACTTCGTACCATTAATCCCTAGTATTTAACTTCATCTGATGAATAACTTAAGGTTCATCATAACATATATGGACTGTCAAAATGTCATGCTTGGTATGATAAAGGTAGAATGATGCAATATAAATGAATAAGGTAGGTAAAATCGATCAACAAATCACAAAATAAATGTCATTCAACTAGAATGTTTATGCGAAAGTCAATACCAATCTAGTAAGTATTACTGGCTCCCTTGAAGGTGGGTTTCTCTACGTCCCAACTAAAAGGAGTAATATCTGTGGTCAGTAAAGTCACGTATGAGCAAACCTGTCAACCATGGATCCACGCTTGAGGACTGTGGTATATAAAGGATTGAAAGAAGATGAGAAAACCAGATGCCATTCGAGGTCACTTGAGTGGTTGTGCTCCATACGACTTTATAGTCGTTGATTCAATCCGAGTAGGATCGAGAATGTGTATCGCTGGATTTTGAGTGGTTGAAAGATTGTGGAGCTATATGTCCTCACACATTCTAAGTTAACAAGTCTTATTGTTCGTCATGAACTTGCATAGTTCTATCAATTTAAAAGAAGTTAGGTTTTCTGAGCATTGGATTGTCCAAGTTATAGTTCAATGCTGAAGCCTTTCTATTTCGCACTACTGAGATTAAATGTAAAACTGCAGTGTTTGCTATGAATGAATGGAGACGACCAACTAAAAACCTGTATCTGTCAGCTTCCATGAGTAGAAATTCAAACACGAAGTATACCACCACCGGCCTTGAGTGAAAACAGACTGACCTAAATATTCATACCCATGACGTTTAGCCATGAATTCAAGCAATAACAATACAAGCTGTTCAAACTTCAAGCAACCTGTGTGATGTTACACCAACTGGACTATACTGGATAATAGGTGATATCGTTTAATTCCGCATCATAGTTTATGAATCAGATTTACTTACTGATTACCACTGAGAGTGGCTCAACATTCTGGAGATGCTATTTACAGTATCATATATACTGTTACAAACGTTCATACACACACACACATACGGATCCCTCGTTATTACCTGTGCTTCACTTTCATCTTGTTGATGGATAATGGCTAGAAGTGGAGTGCAGAATGTGCGTTTCGTCCCATTCGGGGCTCGCCAGCTGGATTTAACCACCTCCCAAAAAGTGGTGTTGTTCCCACTAAGACTAGATTGATTACTTCAAACTCCACAGAGTCACTCGCTTTCGAGTCTTAAGAAGAACAACATCACCCACTGCTTAACAGATACATCCAGCTAATGAGTTCCAAATAAGACGAAACACACTCCCTGGATCCCACTGATAGCCACTCTGGTGTATCATAGATTCCCGACATCTGATTACTTATTAGTGCCTACAGTTTTCAGTTGATTATTACACTGAAACGAATTGATCGATTTCAGTTGTCTAACAGGCTTCCTGAACAGATGACTCGTCGTGATATTTTGTTTGGTGTTGGCTAGTATTGGAAACTGTGACGTGTTTCATCAGCTGAGTGTACCTGAATTCCAGTAAGTAATGGTTCTGCCACTCGAATCCAGCAGTCGTTTCTTCATCCACCACCATCACAGATAAATAGCATTCAACACCAGTTGAGCAAGATGTGGCTTTCGTGACTCAGCAACCCAGAAGATAACACTTTGGCGTTTGAAATGATGGGTTCTGAATTCTATTATCAACATGAACCCCATCACTCACTGGGATGCAGGTACATGTGGCTGACGAGACCCAAAAACATGAAACCCGCCTTATGAATCCTACTCCTACCCTCGTAAAACAAATCTGACCGCTAAATAAACTTCAAAGCAGAAACGATATATAAAAAATAATAACGAAATTATTCCTCGCTGGAATCGGAGAGGCGAAATGACTGCAGTCGGTGAAAGCCTTCGGGAAGCCAATTGGCCCATGTGTCCTCTCTCGATGAAAGCGAAAGTAAACGTGGGGACATGGAATGTCCGCACCATGTTTGAACTCCTAGCAATAATCAAGCAAATCTCCAATTTTCGACTCTACATTTAATCAATTTCATTTAAGGACGATAGGCACACCCTTCCCTATCTTCAATACCCCCAGTTTTTTATGTATAAAAGAAAAAAAATCACTTGACAAGCCTTACAACTGATGATTTTTACTGCTATTGGCGACTGTAGATTTGTAAGGACAATGTTATGTGACAATTATCCATGGCTGTTTGTAAGCATTTCTGTCTATTTATTTGAAAATTCTTGACCTGAAATCAAATTTTAAAAAGATGGTTCTCTTCGACAACTGGTAACACAACGTTTCAGTAATAGCTGAAGAGAAAATACACCTCCGCTTACCTTGGATCAAATAGTTTCGTATCCGGAGAAGGAATAGCTGGGGTGCCAAGTAATGCGATTTGATTGGCCGATAGCAGTCCACCATTTAAGCCTGTTGCACTTGCAGGATGACTAGAACGTAGACAATTATTCACAAAGCCATTTGGTGTTGGAGATCCACCAAACATTGTGGAAGCTGCAGCAGCTGCCGCTGCTAGGGCAGCTAAACCCGGTTCACAATGATTTGTGGAACGACTACTATTGAAATCACCAGTCAAACCATTACTACTACTACTATTAACGGTAGTATTGTTGTTGATATTATTTGTTGATGTATTGCAAACTAAATCATTTGAAAATTTATTCGGTTGAATAAAACCACTTAACAAATCTGAATTTAAACGTGATGTGAAATCTGTTGTTGATTTTTGTAAAGCAGAAAGACTAGCTAATTGATTATTGACAATAGATGGACTGACTAATCCGGTATTGAGTAATGAAGCCAATGCATCATGTGATGTCAGGGTTAAACCATTTGGTGTTGTATACAAAGGACAATTTAATAGGTTATTATAGTTCACATTTGCAATCATTGTTGCTGAAGCAGCTGCAGCTGCAGCAGCCGCCGCTGCGGCAGCAGCAGCAGCGGTTACAGGATAACGTCTTCTTCGTGTATCTGGATTATGTTTATCAGCAAATTTCGCTTCAATCGGGGCAGAACAATCCGGCAATGTGAGTGGATTGATTTTCAACGATTCTAAAGCATTTATTGCATCTTGTTCATTCACAAATCGTACGAAACCAACACCTAATCGATGAACAATTAGAAACAAAAATATAATTTAAATAACTTTCTAATATGAAATATATTTCGATAATGGCATTGGTTGTGACGGTGGCGGTGATTAGCACTCCACGTGATTTAGAACTTGTCAATTAAAAACATTTACTTCTCAATAAATGTCGTTCTTGTCTGGGGGGGGGGGGGAAGGCGAACTCAAACCACTTATCCATAAAAACATCGTAATCAGCTAATAGTTTGTAATAGTTACCAGCTTCCATGTGAAGTAAGATACTATAGAAGTATGAGTATTTAACTTAAGACTACTTAGTTCGCCCCTAAGTTTAGACCAAACGCTTTTAAAACTACCAACACGATATCGACGTCTATATATTGTTAGTGAATAGAAATCGAAGACAGAATCATTAAAAATCAGGAGGCACTGTCTCATCCTAGTTTGAGGTTGATCAATAGTTGGACTCATGATCTTATGTGAGACCCAGTTCAGAACCATATAATTTCACTGCTGGCATGTCATTACTCAATCATTACGTTGAATTCGATCAGCCCACCTGTCAGTCGCTGATGTAGCTCTGTCATCATTCAGCAGCAGTGAGTGAATGTGCTCACAGATGATTTGGTCAATATGCTGTTTCTGGGATTCGTCCCTGTGAAAAGCGGGTGGATAGGGGGAGGAACTGCTAAGAAGTAGTGAAAGATTATGAAATCGCTCATTTTTAATCCAACTAATTAAAGCCAATCGTCAAGTAATTTGTCATGTGCATAAGAGACATCTATTGCTTGGCATTTTATAATGTTGCTTACGCAGCTGAGCTAACTCCTATCAAATGAAGACATCCAGTGAATGAATGAATGGATGAATGAAAAGGAATCAAAATTGGTTAAACTGTTAACTTTCTTAGGTTTGGTCATCGGGTGAAATCCACCTGTTAACAGAATTATCGAACCTACCAGCAGGAGGGAAGAAATAAGAATCTTCCCAGAAAAAAACATCAAAAATGATAAAATTATCAGCTAAATGTAATGTGGGAAGAGGACAACTGATGTCTCCCAAACCTGAGTGTCACCTATCAGCTAAATTCATTCTCTAAACCGTTTTACCACTAGATTCAACGTGGATTAGAGAATATTCCAACTTTCTTGTTTTCATATTTAGCTACTTACTTTTTTAAAACTATTTTTTGTTTGTAATTTGTAAGCACTACTAGACGTGTCGTGTTTAGCGAAATTGCGTGAGCGTCCCTAATGAACAAGAAATATCTGAATGCAAAAGTTTGTCTAAATGTCTACCAGTTGGGAGAAACACATTTATTAAAGAATACACATCTCTTGTATAAAGTTATTCGGTCTGATTCTTTTTTCCTCATAGTTTTGTTTTACTGTTCCGAGACTATTGGTCAAAGTGACTTAGAAATGGTAGAGTTCTAAGTTCGAGTCCATGGGACAACTGGGTCTGATTTCTATCGGTTTCAGTTCACTTCTAGGTTTTATTTTATACATGTTTGAATTTTTCCTTTCAGTTGGTTTTCTTCCTTTCTGTTGATGTTAAATAGGATAACTTGAAATGATATACAAATGTGCAAGATGCTGAGCGATTTACGCCTTCCTGTCAGCAAATAGACGGTTATGTCAGATGGTAAGGTGTAACTGCTGTACACTATCGGTTTTAAACTATATGGCTGATCTGATTTTATCGTAACTAGTTGACTGTCGTTAATCAGACCAAGCATAAGGGCTCCTGTGCGGCTGCTTCGATATTGCCGGTAAGCTGACTTTGCAAGTCATGATGACTGGTCTCTAGTAGGAGGAAATGCACATTCATCATTGCCTTCAAAAGTGAATTATTGCACAGCAGCCTATATCCCAGTAGCGGCCGATTAACTGGATCCAGTCAACGACAGGAAACCACAAGCTATAAAATCAAATTATACCCAGTAATTAAGGAGTAACTGTCGTGAATCAGAAACCCAGTAGATAACGCTCTGGTATTTGAAGCGATGGGTATTGGATTTGCATCTCAACTCGAACAACATCTATCTCTGGGAGGCAGATACAGCTAGTTGACGAGTCTCAAGTAGGGCGAAACACGTATCTTGGATTCCACCTCTACCTACTATCCATACTTATGTGACTAGTCATTTTGAAAGCTTCATCGTTAGAACTAATTGACTACTTCGGTCACCAGAAGTTATATCAGACAAGTTGCTGACTATGTATTAGTTAACTTTATCTATAAAAGTAAAGTTTTTCAACAGTAATTAATCTCAATCATGAAAGGGCAGCTATGATGAGAGAAAATTGACCATAGCATCATTAAAATGGTGACTGTATTGTAAATATGTGTTGATCTGTGATACCGTCAAAGATAAATTACTAAGTAACCGAACTGAAAAAGCCTGTGGGCATGGTTACAAGGAACCAACAGAATGAGTTGTTAATCACTGTCTGAGTGAAATGTCCAACTGTATTAGGTGGGTAATTAGAAAGGTGTGTTTCTCCCCACCCCACCAGTCTCATCAGTCATTCATCCCAGGGTGGTGAACTATTCAAACTGGTTGGATCTGAATAGAATTGAAGGTGATGTACATCAGCTGGGTACATTTTCATGCACTGGATGCTATAAGTCACACTTACTGTGTGAATTCTTGTGATTTTACTCAACTGTTAGGGTTGAAGTTGGTGTAGCAGGGTTCGAACCTCCTACCCACATTTCCCCATGACTAGTATCCAAAAAACCCAATGAAACTTCTTAAACTACTTGCAGAATACACACTTCGTGTTGATTCTTCTTATAGTGGATTATTATGTCAACAGCACGACAGTGATGTCAGCTAGCTTTCTGGTGGACAATACTTAGTTGAGAAGACAGATTCCACTAATCTTATAAACTGCCGAATCCCTTCACTAGTGATCACCTGATCCTTAAACGTAGGGAACAACTGACTGGTAACTAGATCCCTCTGAGTAGGCTGGTGAAACCCGTGGATCAGTATCGATAATTAAATGTCGGAAGTTTACAATCCCCAAACTTCGAAAGCAACTCTGAGATAAGTGAGCTAACATTGTCATTAAATTCACTTCATCTTATGCAGCAGATATACCCACTAAGGGATCAGCATTCAGAAGCGCTATTATGTAACTACTGCTTGTAGACTAACATAATGTAGGTTTGTTTGTTGATTTCTTTAATCTAGTTGGCAACTATTTGTTTGGTTCATGTAACTGACTTGTTACATAATACACATCAGAGTATGCATTACATCCTGTCATTTTCGTTTTGATCCAATGTTCAAGAAGCAAGGAGAATAGAATGAATAGATACTGCTAATAAGAGTCTTTTCTCGACTGTTTTTGGTTATTTTGATATTCTTCTTACCAGTTGTTTTATTCGTCAATCGTTCCATCATAACAAAAGCCGATTGTATATGGCCGAATCGTTCAAAAACAGCCTTCAGTTGGTCACTATCCTTTGTAGTCCATGTTCTAGGAAGATTTGTTACATACAGGTTTGTTTTGTCCTTTTCATTCTCCTGTAAACAATAATAATAATAAGTACGAAAACAACTTTAAAAATTGTATGCATTTCTGAATTAATAGCACAAAGACAGCGTATTACTAATGGGTAGTAAGTAGTTTCACGAATTAGTAATATATTTTATAGTCGATCCAAATAACAACCCATTCAGAGTCATTTAGACTGTCTGTAATAAATTAAATTTCACAAACCGATCTTTACACATTAAAAAGACTAAAATCAAACGAGTAGATGAGTGGTGATAATATCCAGCGACAAATATCGAATGTGCTATCATATTCTCAGCTGGTAACCTCTGCGATTACTTAGTCGGATGCAGACGCGGGTTGATACTACCTCCTAGTGTTCCCTCAACTCCGTAGGGAAGCATGGAAGAGAGAAAAACATCGAAATATCATTAGTGTGAGATTTGCCTACTCAGGTGTTTGTAAATCTAAAGTGTGGTAAAAAGAAGAGTGTTTAGGTTAAAAAATTTCTTCAGCGACCTCCCACCGCCTCTATTGTCATCATTCTCCCCAGTACATCTTTGTGAATTCTGCGTAAAGATTCAATTTTTAAGTTGTTTAAGACTATTTGTTCACTAGTGGAAGAAAAAAACAAGCTTAAGAATTACGAGTTAGCAGTACGGCGTTAGTCTTCATCGAGAACAGTCGGCTGCGAAGATGTATGTCAACTGTGGACGTTTTCAATTTATTAGTAGAAAATAAAAGTTGTGCATTGTATATTGATGCATATATGAAAACGTTGTCTGCATAAAGGGGAAAGCATTGGAGAAATATTCAAATCATTTGACAATGTACTGGAATGATGGTCAAATTTTAGAAAGAAAACTCCCACGATGGTGCCTCAACTGGAAGCAATTCATTTATTGGATTATGTGTAGCACCAAATAACCCCCGAAATCAGTATCCTAAGGTTCAACAAGATTCAACGTTGATGCTGACCTGCATAGTCTTAACGGAATTGCTAAGCTGAAGGCACATGACCAAGCATCCATGCCATATGACACGTTATCATGTTACGTTACGTTGCTCGTACGCTGATCCTCTAGCTAGCTAGTCGGAACGCATAGATACATTTAGGACCTTCAGGTTTTGAGATGAACCCATTGATCATTCAGCCATTGTGTCAGAGTTAAATGGTCCATAGCTTCCTGCTTCTATAAATTCGCGATACAGCCTGACTATCCACCAAGGTCTTCACTTAGCATCCACATGAGTTCCGATTGGTTGACCGCACTGGCCACAGCTTCTCATTAGATCTCCAAGAGATCCATCTCCACTCATGAAGACTGTAAAGTATTTCAGTTTGTGGATTGCACGGATTGATTTGTTTAGAAGTAGTTTTCATCGCTGACTGATGTCAGCTGGGAAACCAGTTAAATTCTGGAGGTAATAAACAGATATTGAGGAGTCCTAGAAAACATTTGTCATCGGTTGACACGACTGGTCTACTTCTCAGATCATCCCAGCCTATAAAAAGAGAGAGAAGTCTTCCAGCTATAAGTATAGAAAAATTAGCTTGACTAATATTGTGTCCAAGATTCTAAGATCCATGGTTATGTTACGCTTAACTGAAGCTCGATAAAACCAGACAGGTTTCAGACTTGGATGAGGGTACATCAACCATATTTTCACCCTCCGACAGGTTCAAGAACACAAAGATACCTACCGGCCAATAACCGGCACTTGCCATACTTCATGACCTGAAGGCAGCATTTGACTCTGTCGACTGTGAGGTGGTGTGACTATGTATGTCTGTAAAAGGAGTACCGTACAAGTGTATAACGCTCATCAAAGCTCTCTACTCGAACTCATCCGGCTGTATAAGAGCTTATGGGAAGTTGTTATCAGAATTGACGACATCTAGTGGTGTCTGCCAGGGTTGCCCTCTGTCACCGTTTGTTTTCAACTTTCTTACTGATTTTTTAGTGGATACAACCTTAGGTACTTCTGACTTCACGAAGATTTATTTACTCTCTGGAGGTCGTCCAGTTGACTTGGAATATGCAGACGATATTGTCCTGCTGAGCGAAGACACTGACAAAACTCAGACTACTCCCAATGCGTTGAGCAGAAATCTGAGTATATTTGGCATGCGTTTCCCACCTGTCAAACGTAATGTGATGCGTCGGGACCGGTCTGCTGCAAATATTTCCAATTTAATGATAGGGAGTAAAGTGATGGAATGAGTCGACCGCTTTGCTTACTTGGGGAATCAAGTCGGTCCGAATGGGCTGGAGGCTGACGAAACCTCAGCTCGGATACAAAAGACCTGTTTGGCATTTGCCAACTGGCGTCACCTGTGGCCTGACTATCGAGATATCCGACTATTTATCAAAGGTGGAATATACCGCCCTTCAGTTCGTGCTGTGTTGGCTGTCAGACATGACCACTGAAAGTAGAAGACATGAATTGGCTACAAGGTTTTGATCACAGGTGTTTTTGTAGTATTGTTGGTGTTTAGAGGAATCCCTGTTGGAGCAATTTAGAGGTCAGGCGAAGGGTACTAGGCAAGATGGGCCAGTCGGTTGATGAAGTTGTGAACCTTTCTCGGCTGATGTGGCTTAGACATGTGCTGCGCATTCCAAGCCACCGCCTATCTCTGTATGTGACACTAGCCAATGTTGGATTGGTTTGGAGGAGAATTCAGGGTGACTAGAACAGGCATGACACCAGTTGATGAAGTCTCTGACTCTTGGTCTGAGTCATGTTGGGAGATGTAGACTACTTGGCTGAGATCTCCAAGACGATAGCAATCAGTGGTTAAGGGCCAACTCTTGGTGACCTGGTTGAAAGTAGATCACATTGGAGAAGATGCCTGATAAAGCCTGAATATTTGCGCTAACCGTTATCTTGAAATTACGTATTCTCTCTCAGAACTTTGTTTACTTTGATTTTAGTCTTTTTCTGTCCACTGTTTATCTGTAGACTTCTGTGAAGTATAGCAACTTGAACCGTTGCACTTTTGTGTGAGGCTGTACGTTGTTTCTGTCTGACATGGTGAAACTATTTCCCTTCTACATTTATTGATTGAATACAAACTGACCTGTAATGAATAGGTTATGCAGAACTACAGATGTTGAGTGTTTTGTGCATCATCCTGCCTGTTATCTAAGCTGTTAAAGCTTAGGATTATATAACAAGCATGATTGTACTCTTAGTCGTTGTAAGATCAAACACAGTGGGACGCCATTTGAATGCACTAAACTTAATGGCCACAGCAAGAAACCTGACTAATAACTTTTAATCTTAAATTATTTCGAACTGGTATATTCTAGAACTTGTTATCAATCAGCATTCATGTGTTTTCATAAAAACAAACTTAGACAAGTCAGACGATTTATTCAGAACTTGAGTTTATGAAATACTTGAATCTGTTTACAATACTAAGGTATGGGATACATTCAAGGTATTGGATCGATTATCTTATGACGTCAGTGAGTAGTGTTGATGTTTGACTTGTACATTAGGGTGGTTAAGATATACGGGAATAGAAGAGTTAGCTACGATAACACTGGCAAAGTCGAGGAGTTACAGAGGATCAGGAGTTGACTGGTGTTCCACAGAAAACCCAACACCTATAATCCATTGCTGTACTTTAATTATCGACATATTCATTGTATTTAACCTCATCAATTTTTGCCTGATTTCAAGAGAGAGAGAGAGAGAGAGAGAGAGAGAGAGAGAGTTCATAAATCTCATAGTGTTAATGATAGTAGTCATCTATCGAAGAGAATAATCCTCTAACACCATGAACTACCTTCTTAGTATTTACCAAGATGTATCAATCATTTTATGAAATACAACGATTACAGTATAACAGGTCTAATTAACTTAAACATGCAAGGGAAATTAATGATAATTAGTAACCATTTCGTGATTCAGATTGTTATCTGGTTATCGATTTGTTCATAAACGTGTGCAAAAAGTCAATTACAGACTGAATAGTTCAGTACTAGTTCCATTAACTCAAATATACCGCTTGGCAAAGAAATACTCAAATGAAGAGCTTTGTAAAAAGGTGAAGAAACAAATGATATTCATCACAGACCGACATCATTTAGAGAAGTGTTGAATAGATGATTCGTCTTAGTATGGGACACCCTAGCAGTGCGTACCCATGACTCCACCAGAGGTCGAACACAGAACCTTCAGGTTCCGTGGCGAGCACGTTAGTGTGACCTCCATCCAGTGCCATCGTTGATTAACTGTCTTCATATATGGGACTTGGTCCCCTCCACAGGTTATGACTTCACATTAGAACTTTGGGAATCGCATCTCGAACCAAGTCACTAATGAGTCCTAGACAGTAACTTAATTTGGAGGTTTGAAAACGTTTTATGTTATAGTTTGCAAGTCTATGTCGTTGACTGGACCGAGTTGATCGATCACTAGACACGTCTCACAAGAAGTGACTGTCATGACTCAGTAAACCAGTGGATAACGCCCTAGTGTTTAAACCTATTGGTTCTTGACTTGAGTTTTAGTGAGAATGACATCCCTCACTGGGAGGCTGGTACATCCAGCTTACGAGTCGCAAATAAAGAGGACGAAATGCACATGAAATGAATTCAAGAAATTCGTTTGTTCCTCTGCTCTTCATTATATGTAGCTTTAAATTGTCTATTGCAATACTGGACTCGTTGGACATTGGACGCATATTGAACAAAATGACATGAATACACCAATAATTTGGGTTCATCACACAGACGTGATGTTCAACTTGTTCTTCAATATGTATCCTAAATTAAGGTCATATTTATATATTTGTAATTTATTATCTTCATCATTTTAAATATGCTCATTGGGTATCTCTCCTTTGTGTATCACATAATCTCGTGTAATTTGATATATGATAGAGTAGAGCGTTACATTGTTTTTAGAATTATTCAGCATTTCTTTATTTTGTTACGATTGTTATTATTTGTTACCGATCGTTATGATTGTTGTTTTAACATCGATTGGAACAATTACCAAAACGCTATATGGTGCA